CCCCCCCCCCCCCCCCTCCCCCCTCTTTCTCGCCTTGCGGGGTGTGCCTCGCCCAAAAGGTTCCTCTTTCCCCTTATTTTTCACGTTGCCCCCCCTTTGTTCCTTTGGCGTGTTTGTCGGTTCGTGGTCTTCATTCAGGACATCGGGGATCTTAACAAGGACGCCTGCCGGGAACTCACCGAAGAGAACGGGAAGCAATTCCAACAGTGAGAGAGAATGATGTACAGTAGGGGGCCCTCTATAGTGCCGGTATGTGTTCAGAGAGCAAAGCGGCACTATACCGGGCACCGGCACTAGTCAGAGTACAGAAAGACTTGATATTCCGGTGTGTGCGAGCCGAAAACACCGGCACTATACCGGCAACCGGCACTATTCAACCGGCACTAAATCAGGCCACCCACTGTATGCGAATAAGCTTACGTGGCGTTTTTGAAATCACGGAGGAGAACGGGAAGCACTTCGAACAGAGAATGATGTATGCGAATATACTTACGTGGCGTTCCTGAAATCACGGAGGAGAACGGGAAGCAATTCGAACAGTGAGAGAGAATGATGTATGAGAATATACTTACGTGGCGTTTTTGAAATCACCCGAGGAGGGGAAGTACTTCGAACAGCAGCGAGAGAGAATTATTTATGCGAATAAGCTTGTGTGGCGTTTTGAAAGTCACGGAGAAGAACGGGGAGCTCTTAAAAGAGTGCGAGAGAATTGAGACAAGTAAGCTTGCAAGCCGGTTCACGGAAATGGATACAAGAGCATTCAACATGAAAACCTCACGCCGTTTTTGGGAGTTAGACTTTGAAACTTTGCACACGTGTCCGGTGGATAGATACGAAACGCGATGTTGAGCCGTTTTTTTTTTATGTTCCCTGTCGCCGGATGTCCGGGGTCCTAGGGGTTTCGGGGTCATGTGCTGTCCCTGGGGCCCCTAAGAACCGGCGATAATGGAACTAAATATAAAAGACGGCCCCACACAGCGTTTCTCGTGTACCCACTGTACATGTGTTGTTGTTGTTGTTGTTGTTGTCTTCAATGTGCAAAGTTTCGAAGCCTAACTCCTTAAAACGGAGTGAGGTGTTCAGCTTTTGTGTATCGGGAGATCGGGGAGCGTTTCCCACCGCTTACGTTTTTGTATTGATGCCAAGGGTCTTGTCGTGGTAAAGTTCAAGTCCAGTAGAGCTGCGATCAAAGTGTTGTGTTAATAGTTGTGCTGGCCGTACTGAGACAGGAGGGAAGACATCTGGTGGGTCAGACTGACCTCGTGTGCGTGTCTCTTTGTCTACCCACCCATCCACAGATTCCCAAAATCCTGCTCTCACACTTCAACTCTGCTCGCCCCTGCTGACAGTTTATACTTTTGTTCCGAAGAATCTAATATTCTGTCCGATTCTCTCAGAAGACCTGTCAAATCTCTCAAACTTATTCACCGACATATATACCGATCCACCCTCGCAACCCTCCGATAGTTCAGTATCCTTTCAAACATATCCCGTTCTTGTCCACCTGGTCTCTTTCCAAGTAGTACGCGTAATTGCACTCAATTCACTCTAGCCCTGTTCAGTTCCCCACTCTTACCCTTAGTTACCCGTTAGGTCCCCAGTTGCAGGAAAAGTTTTCCCCGTCCCGATTTTCCCCACGACTACTTGATAATAGCATAGAATCATATCCGCGCTTTACAAATTATCCCACACAATTTTCTGAAAAGCTTCATTGAAGTATCCTGGAGCGGAGAAAAAAAAATACTATTGGCATTCAGATACGTGGAACCGACTTTTGGGGGTGCCACCCTTCAAAACCGGTCAGAAGTCCACGCATTCCCTCAGTTCTTTTTTCCAGGTTGGGGCACTTTGTTAAACCCCGCTGTCAAGTTTGAGGACAAACAAACATTTCGTTGGATACATTCAAGGCAAAACCAACACGAAGGTCTCTCTGTATTTTATCCCGTCCTATCTAGTGGAAAGTTGACGACGCCAAATCGCTGCCGTCGAAACACTACTATTTTGAGCATAACTCGCGTCCACACTAACCGTTTTCTCTCTTATTTTTTTGTAGTTGCGTGCCCTAGAGCATTTTAGATTACTTTGTGTCAAAACTTCGGTAGGGGGGAGTTGGTAGTGGGGTGTTGCATGTATTCTTTGTTTTTTTTTATGTTGAAGGCTTCTGATTGGCCGAGGCACATTTAAGCCTGTAGCTTCATGGTCATGGCTCTGATCGAGATATCGGCCACGACGATTCGATCCCTTGCTCATCATGGGGGTCATTAAAGATTCCACATGTGTCAATATTGTGCCCGAATTTCGTCTATGCAGCAGCTGTGGTTGAACCAATTGGGGCTTATATCAATGAACGTATGGCGAGCTACGTTTTCGACTCACTGAGGAGAATATTCGAAGAGCGAATGAGAATCGCGACAACTATTATAGGCCTGGTCTTTGCCTACCCACGTGGAATTGTTTTGTTTCGTTGATGACGCCGCCCCTCCTTCTCGTGGCCTCGTCCCATTTGCCGGTCGGAACAGAACAAAGTTCCCTCGAGAGGCCGCGAACGACGCGGAGAACTTGAAGCTTATCGCAGGATCGTCCACGGGGCAAGCCAGCCAACTCGGCAATAGCTCAGTCGGGTGAGAGAGAAAAATTTCTTGACACTACTGTTTGCTGCTCTTCTTGACACTGGTTGCTGCTGCTGCCGTTGTGTGTTGTCGAACCGGTGTGAATGACGTGTATTTGCTTCTTCCGACTTGATTTCTAGGTCCCGTTCAACAGCACCGAGATGGACAGACAGTGACAGGGACAGAGAGACATAGAGAGAGAGAGAGAGAGAGAGAGAGAGAGAGAGAGAGAGAGAGAGAGAGAGAGA